AGAGGCTCTTGAAGCAAAGTAATGATACAGTCAAATTATAGCTAAAACATCTGATAAGGAAAAGTCCCCTGAATTGGCAAGTGGCATGAATATTATTGGCATTTTCATACACCATAAAACTGACCTGAGGGTAGAGTGGCATTCTGCCTCATTTACTCCTTACAATTTATTCTTTAAAAAAAAAAATACTGCTGTTTAAAAAGATTAAGAATTCTTAAGCACCAATCTAAAAGTTTACAATAGAAACACCTTTGTTGACTCTGAGTTACTCTAAAAAAAATTTAGAAATGTTCATGTTGTAAAAAAATTACAGTGACTAAATGAATGCCATTCTACTAGCCAGAGTTCATCTAAATAACTTCAAGACATATTTACCATTCAGTTTTGGTGATAAAAAGTGACCAAGGGAATATATTTCTGTATTATTAGTACAGTTTAATAATGTTTCACCAAGGTAAAACTCATCTTGTGTGACCATCACCGAAGTAAGAACAATATGAATGCAATCTACAGTTAATCCACATTTCCGTCGGAATGCAGTATTCACAAATCTTATTAGAAAAGTTGAACCCCATGACTAAATTTACACAAGGGGAATTCAAGCCTTTCCATGTGGACTAAATGCTTCGTTAATAGGATAAGTAGGTAAGTCATTCAGAATTCATGGACTATACCATGACTAGGTGAAATCTAATGGTGATTTATTAATATTGCAAAGACCGCCAGTTTTGTTAATGTGGATTGTTAGTCACTGTGTTTGTGTTTAACCCATTCAATAATCCTCATGACATCGACAAGGAATATGACCAATAATATAGTTCTAACATAAAATTGTGAGGCAAACAAAAACAAAAACAAAACAAGAAAAAGCCTTGCTTCGTGTAAAAATCTCTCCATTATAAACAGGGACCAGGCAAAGTCCCTAGGTCCCCTGAATGGCCAAGGCTGCCTGATAACCTCCTCTCTGAAGACCATCCAAGTTAGAGCTGCACTGAAGGAGAGGCTTGAAAAATGAAGGGGGAAACTGTTCAGGGCCCAAAGAAATACAAAGCAGCAGAGACGATGTGTAGAGACAGGCACTTTTCCCCATGTGTCCTCAAATTGCTGTAGACAGTGGCATTCAGGCGAGGTTGTACTTCCCTAGGAGGGAAGGCATCTGGACATGGTGTTTATAATGACTGGGAACGCTACTGGCATGTAGTCAGCAGAAGCCTGGGATGTTAAGTATCTGGCAATATGTGGGGCATTCTGTACAACAAATAATTGCCCAGTTCCAAATGGCAAGGGCACCACCACTACCACCACCGAGAAACATTGACCAACAGTGCTTTGCTCACAGATACAGTCATGCTAGCAATGTGACAGGCTAAATGACATTTTTTGTGCAGTAAATCTTAGCATAGTTAAAAATGACCTTTTCTTATAAGGTAGGCTTTAGGTGGGAATAGCTGCCACAAAACTTTAGACTTTTTTTTTTTGAGTTAGGGTCTCACTCTGTCCCCCACTCTGTCATGATTGCAGTGGTACAATCATGGCTCACTGCAGGCAGCCTCCACTTCCTGGGCTCATATGATTCTTCCATCTCAGACTCCCAAGTAGCTGGGACTACAGGTGCATGCCACCACGTCTGGCTAATTTTTTTATTTTTTGCAGAGACAGGGTCTCACTATGCTGCCCAGGCTGGTCTTGAACTCCTGGGCTCAAGCAATTCCCCGGCCTTGGCCTCCCAAAGTTCTGGGATTACAGGTGTGAGACCCTGTGCCCAGCTTAATCATGTATCTTGTCCTAGCTTAATTCCATTCCACCTACTCTCAGGAAGGTTTCTTATGCTGTGTGAAATTTGCAGCTAGGGTCACTTAAAAATAATAACAGACTGAAGACATTTTTGAATGAAAAGAAAAAATGACGGAGTGAGACCTTGTCTCTAATTTTTTTTAAAAGGAAGAAAATTTTCCCTGTTTATATGTGGACATACTACTCTGTGGTAGACAAGACTGCCTTTTTCCTATTGCAAATACAGTCTAATTTTTGAAAGTTGTGTCTGTCTGACTTAATAAAAGTATAAATAAAATGTTATGTGTTAATTTGGTATACAGTGTTGATTCAAAGTTTTTTCTCTTTCAAGTGTAAGCTACTATTATATATATATATAAACATATATATATATATATATATATATATTTTTTTTTTTTTTTTTTTTGGTAAGTGCCAATACAGTACTGAATTAATTGCAGGGTGTAAAACCAGACCTTTTTGGTTGACCTGGGTTTTAAGGACTCATTTCTCATTTTCAATATTTGATAATTTTTGAAGGGTGTAATTCAATTCTTCTATTTCCTTAAATATATTTTCCCTTCAATTTCAGAGCTTTCTACTAACAGAATATTTTCACTAACATTAGAGAAAAATAAGGAACTCTGCTCATTACACTACTAAAGGATATGAAAATAAAATCAGAAAGTTAGTTTTTCTGGGTAAATCAAAGAGACAGATGTGTTTACTTCTTCTTTCATGTAAAATAGTTGTTCAAATATCCAAAATGGTTTTCTGACTATTACAGATTTCAGTTAAATAACTTAAGAAATTATAGCTAACATTAAAAAAAAAAAGTAAGACAATTTACATACACAGGAAATAATCAGGAAAGCTGCCTTAAATTAATGCTGACCACCAGAGCACTAATTTTGTCAGATTGATTGGTAAAGACCATGAAGATTCTGATAAAACCCAGAGTATATTCTTACTATCTTAATATTAACACTTTTTTCCTCCATTACAGAAAAAGATGGAAATGGGTCACTTTAATTTTTACAGTCTGTCTAGTTCTTTCCTGACTGGTACTTTCTTGGAGATGGGTTTGTTTTCTTCCTTGATCATATTTTGGGAACTCAGGAAAACCCACTCACTTCCTGTGTGTCAGCCTAATGTCACGCTTTAAATAGCAAAAGATTTGGAATTGTGTTACAACAACAAGAGCAAAGTATTCAATTTCCACACACATTTATCTTCCTTATAGAACATATACTTACTGGGTGGACTGCCGAAATGCTGGCAGTGGGCAGAAGTCTGATTATATGGAGGATGGTCCAGACCTCTGCATCCCTTTTTTGGGCAGCTAGGCAAGAGCAATCTGGCTAGGCTACTGGTGGGGATATGCAGTGTCTCTGCCTTTTAAAATGAGCTATTAAAATTGAGCCCTATTCTGTAAAAGACAGCTTACCTCAGAATCCTTTAAAATTCTTTCCATAGCTTTTTATTCAATGAATCATTCTAATGAAATAAGTGGTAGTTCTAATTACTTAAATCGTAGAGAAGCAGTGGTTAATTTTTTTCAACTTATAAGATTTTATCTAAACATCTCAATCAGTATGAAGAAAAAGTGTGGGTAGTTCATAAATCTGACATAGTATACAAGGAAAACAATATACTGAAGAACGAGATTTTCATTTTTGTATGGGGTGTGTCTCGTAGGAAATAAAAAAACTGCATCATATGCACCATTAGTGGGAACAAATTGTTCCTTTTATCAACCAAATAGAAATTTCCTATGACATGTACCTTGAATGATAAAATGGTGATCATGCCTTATATTTACCATGATAGAGATACCATGTGGTTAGAAATGTAAAAAGTGTTCAGAAATGATTAACCCTAGAAAATTAAAAGAAACATAATATTTCTTTGTATTCTCCCCAAGACACTAAAATGATAAAACAAAATATCATAAAGTAAAGGATGACTTGGGGAAAAAAATTAGAATAAAGTAATTTTTATGGCTGGATTGAATACTATAAGATAGACAAAACCTCAGTCAGATGAGATATTTGGGCCTGCAGAAAAATTTTTTCAAGGCAAAAATGTCTTATCCTGTTAGTGAAATAACAACAGACTCCAAGTTTATTTTATTAATGCACACAGTTGAGTGCAACAAGAGGTATGATAATGCTGGTTACTTTTCTTAGCTGTAAAACGGTCCTGGCTTTTTATGATAGGCTAAATGGTGCTAACATTTTAAATTAAATCATCCAATTTCAAATAGTTCTTCAAGATACCAATGAATGGCAGAATCTAATATATCCACCAGGTTAAATGCTTACTTTGGGCTGAAACAGAAAATTACAGTCTTTCATATTATGAACCGGAAACATTTCAGAAAATTCTAGTCCAAGCTATGACAATAAAATAAACTATATTTAGGTCTTGTCTTGGTATGCATTTCATATGTTTTTAATGAAAAGGGCACAAAACAATTGTGACATAACAATTAAATGCAAGGTAGTATTTACATATGTTCTATGTATTTGGGAGCAGAAGTCATACTGTGCCTGTGACTCCATAGAAAATAGCAATACAACAATAGAGAGCTTCTTAATGTAAACAATACTGACTGTAGGCTTATAGGGAAACCTTCCATGACTTTAATCTCACCAATTCTTTTGCAATGAATGTAAATATTGTACTAAAATTATGGATGCAATTTGCAGATTATTAAAATACAAGATAAGGTTTTCCTCACACAACTTGGCAGAAATTCTCTGTGTTCTTTTAAGCCTTTGGGTAAGTATCCATGTGCTTTATTTTTTTTTAATTGCAGCAACCCAACTTTTTAAAATGCAGCACTAAGAAGTAACTGGTCCTTAGCATTCCTATTCAGAACTAACTTCAGGCAGCATATTTGCATCTCACATAAGTTTTAATTTTGGATGATTCAGGTGTTTCAAACAAGTGTCATGATTGTTGAGACTATCTTCTTTTTTTTTTTTTTTGAGTTGGAGTCTCACTCTATCACCCAGGCTGGAGTGCAGTGGCCTGCTCACAGCCACTGCAGCCTCAACCTGCTGGGTTCAGGCGATCCTTCCGCCTCAGCCTTCCAAATAGCTGGAACTACAGGTGTGCACTACCACGCCTGGCTAATTTTTTGATTTATTATAGAGACGAGGTCTTGCCAAGTTGCCCAGGCTGGTCTCGAAGCCCTGAGCTCATGCAATCCTCTCGTCTTGGCCTCCCAAAGTGCTGGGATTGCAGGCTTGAGCCACCGTGCCTGGCCCCCGATACTATCTCTTTTAGATCAAGTTTGGTTGCTCTGACTTTGGAGATAACCAAGATAGGGAAAGATCGAAATAATTATTTCTGAAGCTTGCTACAGTTTTATAGGGTCACATTACATCTAACTTAATTCCCAATCTTGTTATCTTTGTGAAAGGTTGAAACACTAGGAAAGGAGTATTTTAAAAATGCCAAGTGCGTATAGCTATGGTAGTTAAAGCATGCAACAAAATTTGGGTGAGCATGCTTGTTAAGAGAAGCCTCTTGCGTTTAAGAAAAAGATGCATGAAAACACATTCAGACTTATTTCTGGCAATTGGACTCACTGGCACAACATAAAGTAATAGTACTATACTGTACCAACATAATGGTGAAACAAGAATATTCTCCTAGGATCAAGTCTTTAAGGAATCCACATTGGGTGATCAGAGTCCTAAATCCCTTAAGTTTTCAACTACCAAAAGCCTACTTCAAAAATACATTTATGCTTCAATTTTCTCCTTTCTTCATTAACATAATGAAATATTCATCTTTCTTTCTGATTTTCAACTCCCATCCCTTTCCAGTGCCCAGTAATTCCAGCAATCTCTATTTTTCTTTAACCTGCATTATAAAATTTGGCTTTCTGGTAATAGGGAGCCAGTAATTGTCTTCTGCTCTTCCTTGATTAAAACTCCTGATGAAGAATAACTGATGTAACCACTGTGCCCCTTACCATCAGTGCACATTCTGGGCAGGAAGCATCACTGCATCCTTCCCTTTGCTTGTTGGCCCCATCTAGGCTGCACAAGTGAGGAGCACGTCCTAACCAAGCGAAGTTACACACTTCCTTCACCACAAGTTAAACGGAAATGCACACATTCAAATCCCAGTGCAATATCAGGTTTTCAGGAAGCAGGGCTTCCCCAAAGATGCTCAGTCTCGGTTTTCAAATACTCTCACACTTCATTATGGACGATGAAACCTGGAATCAGAAACAGAAACTGTGAGTCTGTGGCACACTCCACATCCAGTGAACTAAGGCACAGTAATGCTTACAGTGAAAGGCAGCTGTAGATGGCTCCCAACTGAATTACTGTTTATAAACTGCTGTCATAACAGAATACTGTTACAAATGTTAAGCTGGAAAGCAGAGACAACCCTTATATAAAAGATGCCGGTTATTGCATTCAAGTAACAGAACAAAAACACAAAACATCACTGAGGGCCACAGTCTTACTCTTTTTAAGCAGAGTGAGATGTTTCACAAAGGGATGTACACCTGGTCTGTAGTTATACAAAGAAAAATGGCCGGGTGTGGTGGCTCATGCTTGTAATCCCAGCACTTTGGGAAGCCAAGGTAGGAGGACTGCTTTGAGCGCAGGAGTTCAAGATCAGCCTAGGCAACATGGTAAGACCTTGTTGTTGTCCACAAAAAATACAAACATAAAAAATTAGGCAGGCGTAGGGGTGTCCGCTTGTAGTTCCAGCTACTCAGGAGGCTGAAGTCGAAAGATCACCTGAGCCCAGGAGGTTGAGGGTGTGTTAAGCTGGAATCACACAACGGTACTCCGGTCTGGACAACATAGTGAGACCCTCTCGATAAAACAAAAACACCCAAGTAGTCATTATTTCATTACCTTCAGCTTCCTGTCATCTCCTGTTGATGACTTCAGATCTACTTTTTACACCTGCATTTTCAAACATTCCCTGGGCATTTCCACCCAGATGTCCCACAGGTAACATACTAGGCATGTCCACAACTATACAATGTTTTCCTTGTTAAACTGTCTTTGTACTTTCTAACTGGTTTAATGTCCTACCTTTTAAAACGTCTTTCTGTAGAAATCTTAGATTTGGAATTCATTTATCTCCTTCATCCTCTATTTCTTATTACTCACCAAATCTTGCCTTGATTGCCCATTTTTGAGTCATTAAAGCCCTCACCATCTTTTGATGGCACTACCTTCTTGTCCGCTTGCTTAGTCAGCTAGCTGGCTTCTTTTCCCTCCGTGAGAGTTCCAGGACATTCCTTACATTTTTGTAGCCTGGTGCTTTTAAACATGCGGTTCCCTAATAGTGCAATCCCCTCCCTTCATCTCCTATATGTTTTCATTTTCAAGAGCAAGGTCAAAAGTCATCTTCTCCATAAAGCCCCAACTGATCCAGCACTTCAACTTCAGCCTATTTTTGTGATTACACATTTATGCAGCTCTACTTAGCATTTCACTCAGTCTTCTATGATCTAATTTTCATTTACCCTGGTAAACCAGTCTCCAATTGGTTTCCCTATCCCTTGCTCTCTCCATTAGAACTATGCTCCACACTGTTGTTCACCTTATCCTTATACAATATTGATCCTCCTATCATTCCAGTTCTTTCTTTCTTAAATTTTTTTTTTAAATTTATTTTTGTAAAGACGAGGCTCTCCCTTTGTTGCCGAGGTTGGTCTTGAACTCTTGAACTCAAGCTATCCTCCCACCTCAGTCTCCTGAGTAGCTAGGATTACAGGTGCACAACACCACACCCAACTAATTCCTTCCTCCCTCCCTTCCTCCTTCCTTCCCCCCTTTTTTGGTAGGCAAGGACTCACTATGTTGCCCAGGCGGATCTTGACCTTTTTGTCTCAGCCTCCCAAAGCACTGGGATTACAGGAGTGAGCCACTTTACCCGGCCCCTACTTCTTTCTTAAAAGCACTGTATTGTTTCCCATTTCCTACAAAATAACATTTACATTTCCTAGAGTGTTGATTCAGGCTCTTCAGTATGTGGCCCAACCCATGTTTTGTTTTGTTTTGTTTTTTTTGGTTTCTGTTTTTTGAGTTGGAGTCTTACTGGGTCGCCTAGACTGGAGTGCAATGGCTGCTCCCGGCCACCGCCGCCTCGCCTGCTGGGCTCCGGCGATCCTTTCGCCTCAGCCTTCCGAGTAGCTGGAATTACAGGTGCGTGCGACCACGCCCAGTTGATTTTTTTTATTTATTGTAGAGATGAGGTCTTGCTGCCCAGGCGGGTCTTGAACCCGCAGGCTCAGGCAATCCACTCACCTCAGCCTCCCAAAGGCGCAGGATTACAGGCTGAGCCACCGAGCCCGGCTCCAAACCATGTTTTTAGATATATCTCCATCACTACCCCCACAGCCCCCAAGTTCTGATCACTTGCTCCCAAAATGCCTCTTGTGTTCATGTTCTTTCCTCTACCTTATCTCTTCCCATCTTCTCTCTGTACAATCTCACTCCACGAATTCCCCAAATCCCTATTCTCTACTTCTCAGGGAGCCACTAATAATTCTGTCTTCATGTTCCCAAAACCTTTGGTTTATGCCAGTCATCGCTCACATTATATAATCTTTGTATAGGTGTGCCACTGCCATTAGCTCATGAAAAACTGAGGAAAAATCTGGTCTTATTCACCTTCACATACTCATAGAATACGCTCTCTGCCATATGGTATACTTAACACACGTTGCCGTGTTGAGTCTAAGCTTTACAAAATGAAAAATTAGACATAAGAACAAATAAGACAACACTAGACATGAGTTGATAACCAGAGAAGCTGCCATATGTGTACATGGAACTTATATTACTTCTGTATGTTTGATTTCCAAAAGGCAAAATAAAAATAAGATATACCAAGCTTTCTAAAACTGGCAAACAAGTTGTGCCTAAGCAGTAATGTGTCCCCTTTGAGTTCAGTTCTTAATCTACCACTGACCATAAACCTTGGGCAGATGTGTGGACTCCAAGCCTTCACTTGTTAAACAGAGACAATACGACTCTTTCAATCACCTAGGCCTTCTCTCCGCCCTCTGAGCAGGCAAAATCAGGCTCCCAGCACTGGTTCTTCTTTCTACCATAGCTTACTCACTTTGGGAGCGAAATGTATTTCTCCTCCCTCAATAATGTACTGATAGCTCCCTCTTATCACTGAAATCACAGAACCAGTTTTATTTCAAGAGATTCTGTGATGGTTAATTTTAGGTGTCAACTTGACTAGATTAAGGAATACCTAGAAACATGGTCAAGCATTAATTTTGGGTGTGTCTGTGAGCATGTTTCCAGAGGAGATTAGTATATGAGTTGGAGTGGACTAGGTGGAGGAAGATCTGCCCTCAATGTGTACAATGTGGGTGGCCATCGTTGGATCTGCTGAGGGCTTAGAGAGAATGAAAACAGAGAAAAGGTCAGTATGTTGATCTATCTGCTGGAGCTGGGATACATTCTCTCTTTTCTATTCTTGGACAACAACTCCAGACTCAGACTCCTTGCTGTCCCAAGATCTCTTGCAGACAGCCTGTCATGGCATTTTTTTGCCTCCATAACTGTGTGAGCCCATTCTCCTAATAAATCCCCTCGCATCTCTCTCTGTCTCTATCAGTCTCTCTTGCCCATCTGTTTTTCCTTCCTTCCTTCCTTCCTTTCAACCGTTCAGTTGGTTCTATTTCCAGAGAACCCTAGCACTGACCTCATTCCTAGCCATCCAATCTATACCCACCAATGTCCATTCTACAGCATCCTGTTATATTTCTTCATCCTTAGCACTATCTGAAATTCTCATGTATATTTATTTGTTTACTTGCTAATGGTTAGCCTCCCTCACTAGAACATAACCACATGGGATTGAAGATCTTATCAGACATATCCTAAACTTCCAAGATCCAGTCTGGCTCACTATTTATGCTCAATAACTATTTGTTGAATGCATAAGTGACACATATACAGGGGCATCTAGGAAGTTGATAACTCCATAAATAATTCAATGTAACCAAAGAGTCAAAACATAAAACCCATAAACTTGATTATAAATCCATGTGTACTAATATAAGATAACCCATCTGATAGGACATTCCAAAATACATTTTAGGAAGAGTCAACCACAGTCTGAAGAAAAATATAGAAGTATTATAAAAATATTTCAAAAGAGTAACTGAACACCTCTTAAGTAAAATTTTTAATATAAAATATGAGAAAGGCAGATAATAGTATTAACTAATATTTACAAGTCCAAGTGCTATACAAATATTAGCTCATTTAACCTTCAAAACCAAACTATGAAGTAAATGCTCCTGTATACCCTTTGTACGAATGTGGAAACTGAGGTACAGAGATGCTAAGTCACATGTCCAAGGTAGAAAGCTGGTGAGTGAAAGTAGTAGGCTCCAGACTCTGTATTTTTTTTTAATTTTTAGGTAGGGTCTCATTCTGTCTCCCAGGCTGGAATGGTGCAGTGGTACGATCAAGGCTCATTGCAGCCTTGACCTCCTGGGCTCAGGTGATCCATCTGCCTCAGCCTTCTGAGTAGCTGTGACTATGCATTACCATGCCCAGTTAAATTTTTTAACATATATTGTATAAATGAGGTCTCACTGTGTTGCTCAAGTTGGTCTCAAACTCCTGGGCTCAAACGATTCTCCACCTCGGTCTCCCAGAGTGCTGGGATTACAGTCATGAACTGCCATACCCGGCCCAGACTCTGTAGTCCTTAATGCACATTAAAGTGTGAGATCAAAACATGCCCTTATCTGTACTTTCATTCATAAGGGTGATTTTGGTGCCCTTTAGGTAGAACGGAATAGAAAAGATAACCAGTTAGATTTCTACCTTGCATTTGTTTTGATCAATTTTTTTATGTTGAAATTTTATTCTTTTATTATGATAGTTAACATAGTGACTATACAGATTTATGAGATACAGTGATATTTTGATATTTGTATACAATGTATAATGATCAAATCAGGGTAATTAGCACACCCATCATCTCAAATATTTATTATTCTTTGTGATGGGAACATTTCAAAATCCTCTCTACTAGCTTTTTGAATATATACAATAGATTATGATTAACCTCAGTCACCCTACAGGGCTATAGAACACAAGAACTTATTTCTCCTATCTAGCTGGAATTTTGTATCCACCAACCTCTTCCTCTCCTCCCCTTTCCCTTACCCTCCCTAGAGTCTAATAACCACTATTCTACTCTACTTCAATG